TTTTTTTTCCCCTGGAGACAAGGATAAATCTCACTTCAGCCCGATGTGGAGTGACTCATACCATTAGGAGTCACCCTTCTTATTCACTCTGGAAAAAAATTTCCAAACTTCAATAGATAAGAATTGTCCAGGGAAATCATTTACTTTCCTTGATGCTTAGAATCTTGTGAGGAGCTAAAAACAAGCTTATTTAACATTTAGTGAGCACTTTTATTTGAGACCAAAAAAACCCACAACTTGGGTTATAAAAGCAAGATCTGTGATGTTGGGCTGGCAGAGAAGGCTTCTCTCTGGAGCTCAGATTGGTCATAACTTACATTATCATATGACTTGTGTAAAGGCCTCCTGGTATCCAGGGGCCACATCAAACACAGGGATCGCCCTTGAGGCTGACAAACTGGGGGAGAGACCCAGCAGCCGCATCCTCTTAGGGGAGAATCTAGGCTTGCTTTTGCCAAGATAACCTGTTGAGATTTTGTTTTAATTTTCAAGATTGAGAAGACAGAAGCAATACATCAACAATTTCAGAAGTTTTTGACTGAAATAAGCAAACTCACTAATGATTATGAACTGAACATAGCCAACAGGCTGTTTGGAGAAAAAACATACCTCTTCCTTCAAGTAAGTTTGCTGTGCTTACCATATCTGTGAGTGGTATTCTGGAATGGCCAAGGGGCTCTAGTAGGACTGTGGGTCCTGAAGTCGGGCTGCCTGGCTCTGGTCACATCCCTGCGGTGCTTTTCCATCCTGATCTACAGATATTCAGAACTGCAGGGAGCTTCTTTATAGTCCTGGCAATCTGAGCCTGATTTTTGCCTCATCCCCAGATAAGCTGCATAAAAATGTGCATGCAGGTACTCAATGTGAGATGCCCAGGACCTTACAATTTCTCTTACTGTATTAGTCATCCCAATGTATACATAAATTTATTTAGAGATGTTGGCAATTGATAAATTGACTTTTTAACCTCTTTTTATTCCTTCCTTGTTTCTCCTAAAGAAATACTTAGATTATGTTGAAAAATATTATCATGCATCTCTGGAACCTGTTGATTTTGTAAACGCAGCAGATGAAAGTCGAAAGAAGATTAATTCCTGGGTTGAAAGCAAAACAAATGGTAGAGTATGGGTGGGTCATTCATTGCAAAAAAACCAGAAACAAACAAACACACAGACAAAAAACACTTCTTGACAATCTGCTGTGAGTGAAGCCCTGGACTTGTCACTGCGTGAGGTGCCATATAATGCACAAGCTTTGGGAAGGGACTTGAGACAGGTTTTGCAGGGTTGGAAGGGCAAGCCTGGGCCTAGGAGGTAGGGAGGGCACTGCAGATGGTGGAGCAATTTCAGCAAATGTGGAGAGGCCAAGGGGAGCCAGCAGGGGACTGCATGAAGCCAAATGCATGGAAACGCTTGCTGGAGAACTGTTTACACATAGCCATGGATCACAATATCTTGGGGGTCCCGAAAATGGGATGATGCCTGTCTTGGGTTTACATTCTTTCCTTTATATCGGAGCCTTTCTTCCTGAGTTTTTCTCTGTCTGTGTTAAGTGAGAAACACGCAGCTCTCCCATCAAGACTTGTTCCCATCCACAGCTGGGGCCACCTGGTCTTCATCTTCACTTAAGCATGGTGCAGGGATAATGACAAACGACAGCCCCCCCCCACAGCAGAGGATTTGACAAGTTTCTTATCCCATTCTTCCTTTCTCATCCCCTAGTATGAGAAATCCACAGAGAAATGTTAATGTGGAAATTCACCTTGGGGAGCAATAGCTGATACTTTAGTGTTAGAGTTTCAGATTCCATTTTTATACCAATTATCAGAGACACCTTTGTTACTTAGAATGTGTTTTTTTCCCCCTCATCCTTGGCCTGAAGAAAGGAAATAAGAAAAGCAGAAAAAATAGGATCTTTCAAAAAGTTGGTTGAACAGTATTTTTTAGAATTTATTGTGGGATGGGCTGAACTCAGACAAAAATATCAACTCCTTCTCCAATATAATAAGTAATCCCTCAATCTCAGGCGGTAACTATATTAAATGGTAAGCATAATAGCTAACACAGAGTGCTTATTATGTGTGTGAGATGGTGTTCCAAGAGCTTTACATGTGTTGAATCATTTGCTCCTTTCAACAACCCTATGAGGCAGATTTTATTCCTATTTTACAGATGTGGAAACTGAGGCACAGAGAGTTTAAATAACTTGCCCAAGATTCCTCAGCCGATAAGAGGCAAACTGGATGCTAACAGAGGCATCTGACCCCAGAGTCCGGACTCTTAACCATGAACCTCAATTTATGCAGTGGGATAAATAGGCGATGGGCAAAATGAGAACCTCCTTGCCGATTCTGCCAGCGAACCCTTTGTCAGCAAGGCCCTCAGGTGCTGACCTGGCTGGTTTTTAATGATCAGTCAAGTCCATCTGCATCATATGTGTCATGCATATTACTTGTCATTTGGAAGATGGGCCAACCTTTTTCTGTTTCTTCATTTACAGAAACAATCAAGGACTTGTTCCCAGATGGCTCTATTAGTAGCTCTACCAAGCTGGTGCTGGTGAACACAGTTTATTTTAAAGGGCAATGGGACAGGGAGTTTAAGAAAGAAAATACTAAGGAAGAGAAATTTTGGATGAATAAGGTATGCTCCTTAATTTTTTTTTGTGATGTGCTTGCACATGGAATATAAAATCTAAAGTCATGGCTAGGTGCGGTGGCTGACGCCTGTAATTCCAGCACTTTGGGAGGCCAAGGTGGGTGGATCACGAGGTCAAGGGATTGAGACTATCCTTGCCAACATGGTGAAACTCCGTATCTACTAAAAATAAAAAAATTAGCTGGGTGTGGTGGTGCGCTCCGGTAGTTCCAGCTACTTGAGAGGCTGAGGCAGGACAATTGCTTGAACCCGGGAGGCGGAGGTTGCAGTGAGCCAAGATCGCACCACTGCACTCCAGCCTGGTAACAGAGTGAGACTCCATCCCTCACCCCGCTAAAAAAATCTAAAGTCATATTTGAGCAAATGCATACTGGAAGATAGTAAATGCTCATTCTGAGACTCTGATATTGGGCTTTATTTTAGATTGAGTTAATTATTTTGATGAACTAACTTGGTTGCCTTAAAGCCTTTGGTCTTATGTCCTTTGATATTGTGTGCTCTATTAATTTGTTGCAGAGCACAAGTAAATCTGTGCAGATGATGACACAGAGCCATTCCTTTAGCTTCACTTTCCT